TTAAACTAACAACTTCAATCGAATACAGAAATTCTTTCTTTTTATATCTTCCTCCCTTCACTTTGTTACCGATGTTGCAAATTATGTCTTTTTATATTTTGTATTAACATAGTTTTATAGTTATACTGATTTTATGTTTTTATTGTTTATATTCTATACCTAAATTAAAAGTGATTTATTTATACACCACCATGATAGTATTGCAGGATTCTGTTTGTCTATCTATTTACCTTTACCAGGAAGCTTTATATTTTCATCTGCATTTTTGTTGTTTAGCGTCCTTTTGTTTCAACTTGAAGGACTCCCTGTAGCAGTTCTTTCAAAGCAGGCAATAAATCCCCTCAGCTTTTGCTTATCCAGGAAGGTCTTCTTTACTTTTGAAGGCCAGTTTTGCCAGATATAGTATTCTTGGTTGGAAGATTTTTCTTTCAGAACTTTGAATATATCATCTCACTCCCTTCTGGCCTGTAATGTTTCTCCTGAGAAATCTGCTGATAATCATTCTAGTTACCTTGTACATGATGAGTCACTTTTTTCTTGCTGGTTTTAAGATTCTCTCTTGGTTATAATGTGTCTCATTGTGGGCCCTTGGTTATAATGTGTCTCATTGTGGGCCTTTTTGGATCCATCCTAGTTGGAGTCCTTTGAGCTTCTTGAACTTGGATATCCATTTCCTTCCTCACATTTGAGAAGTTTTCATTAATCATTTCTTCAGATAATCTCTGTCTCATTCTCTCTCTTCTTCTGGGGCTCCCATAGTACATATATTTATCTACTTACAGTGTCCCATAAGTCTCTTAGGCTTTCTTCATTTTTCTTCTTCTTCTTTTTGGTTCTTCTGACTATAATTTCAAATGACCTATCTTTGAGTTCAGAGATTTTTTGTTGTTGTTGTTCTCACCTGAGGCCATGCTTAGAGAAAGAAAATGAGAGAGAGAAACATTGATTGGCTCTCCTCTGCACATGCCCCAACTAGGGGTTGAACCTGCAATCCAGGTATGTGCCCTGACCAGGGATCAAACTGGCAACCTTCAGTGCACAGGACGACACTCAAACGAGCTGCTCTGACCAGGCCACAGATTTTTTGTTGTTTGATTATGTCTGTTTTTTAACCCTTGTAGTGAATTTTTTTTAACTCAGTTACTGTATTATTGTAATCCTCAGCTCCAGAATGTCTATTTGGTTCTTTTTCTTTTTTTAATATGTCGTCATTGATTTCAGAGAGAGAAGGAAGAGGGGGAGAGAGAGAGAGAGAAACATCAATGATGAGAGTCATTGATTGGCTGCCTCCTGCACGTGCCCCACTGGGGATTGAGCCCACACTCTGGGCATGTGCCCTCACCCAGAATCGAACTGTGATATCCTAGATCATAGGTCGATGCTCAACCACTGAGCCACACCTGCCAATCTATTTGGTTCTTTTTTAACAGCCTCTATCTTTTTGTTGATAGTCTCATTTTGTTCATGCTTCATTTTTCTCATTTCATTTACTGTCTGTGTTCTTTTGTAGCACATTTAGCTTATTTAAGACAATTATTTTGACTTATTTGTCAGGTAGTTCATAGATCTCCATTTCTTTAGGGTCAGCTTCCAGAGATTTATTTTGTTACTTTGGACCATGTTATCCTGTTTCTTTGTGTGTCTTGTTACTTTTCGTTGTGTTTTCTTCATTTGAAAAAACAGCCACTTCCAGTCTTTTTGTACTGGCTTTGTACAGGGCAAGACCTTCACTCATCAGCCCTGCTGGAGATTATGGGAATTTCTCAAAATTTTTATGGGGTACTTCTTCTCTCTGGCATAGTGGAGGATCTCTGGCACTGCAACAACCTCTTCATTTGTTCTCTGCAACCCTCAAGTATCTAAAATATGACAATTCCTCTTTAGTGCTCTAAGTCAGGTGAGACAGAAACCAGACCATCGGACAGCCCTCCAAAAAGCTGGCATTTTGGATGTATATTTCATTCCAATCTTTCCCTGCTTAGGAAGAAGCCATGAGCTGGACACATTCTGCTGATCACAACAAACTGCCAGCTTTTGTCTATAGAGAGGGAGGTCCTCTGAAGCTTCAACAAGCCACTGAGCTTTCTTGTGTTCTTAGCAGCTCTCGGGCATCCAGAATATACTGGTTCCTCATGAGCACTCCAAGTCAGGCGAGACAGAAACAAGTCTCTCAGGCAGTTCCATGAAAAACCCAAATGTTGGGTGTACATTCTACTCTTGTCTTTCCTCCCAAGGGAGAACCTGCAAGTTGGGCTTTTCCTCCCAAATGCGAGCTATGTTAACTTGTGAGTAGGGGCTGACACAGTTGAAATAAAATGGCTTTTCTTACCTGTGTCAATAAAGTTGTTCATGCCTTTGAGCTTCCTAACTGGTTTCTGGAGTTCTCATGAAGGCTTTTTGGACCATATGTTGGTGTTAAGTCAGTGTTTTTGTAAGGGAACAAGGTCTGGGGCTTCATGTTTCATTATCTTGCTGACCGGAAAATTTTAAGTCTTGTGATACTATCAAATTAATCTCAGAAAATTTGTTCATTTCACTTGCTATTCTGATATTTTTAAAATCTGGGCCACTTTAATAGGTGATGTTGAATCCTACATTTAGAACTATTTTAAATTATGTAATGTTTGATATCTACAAAAGAATCTGTATAGCATTGTTACAAAGCATATTAATAAAATTAAAATTAATGAAGCCATCATAAATCATTAGAACCAGAACATTGCTGTTTTGCCTACCTATGTGTTTTTCCATTCTGTCTTCTGCCTCTCTCACACATAACAACTATGAGTTTTATAGTTTATATGTATACAGGTTTACATTTTTCAGTTTCTTGCCTTTTCATATTTAATTTTATCATGTATGCAAACAATGTATTTAATTTTGCTTGTGTTTAAGCTTTCTTAAAAGGTATTCAATATATAGTGTCCTGGCTTGCTTTTTTTTTAACTTATTATGTTTCTAAGGTTAAGTAAGTTTAACCATTTTTATGTATTTATTGTCCATTTGTAATGTTTACTTTGGGAATTATCTCTTTGTATACATTATACATTTCATAGGGATATTCTTTTTTACTGGTATTGTTACTCTAAATTCTATGATTTTAAGATTTTTTTTCTTTTATAAAAAAGTATAATTTGGAAGTTTGTTAATTGATGGATAATTCAGATAAATTGTTTCCTGATTCTGTTTTCTGAACCTATTTGTTATTTAACTTCCCTCTAGGAAATAGTAATTGTTGTTTGTTTCTATAGGGAAAAGATTATAATAACTTGTTTTATTATTTGGGCATAAAACCCACCCCGGCTTACAAATGCTTATTGCTGCATTTTTACCTGCCCATGTATGGGAATGTTATTGCATGAAAGTTTATTGAAAATTATGAAATGAGGATATTTACAATATACCCTTATTGGTCTTTATAATAGAAAATATTTAAAAATTATATTCATGGCTTTTCAATTGGACAATTTAAGTTTTCTGAGGAGGTCAGTTTTCAGTTTTAAAAGTTTGTTCTTTCCGTGGGACCGAGTCCTTCAGGCTTGGAATTGTACATTAGGATTTCAGAAAGGCTTTGGATGCCTGAGAGAGATGTTGGGGTCTTGTTATATTCATGTAGATAGCTTATATCTGTGTGAAAAGTGAAGAAAAAGCAGTATTGCCTAGAGCAATAATTTTCAAACTTTCTTGACCTGAGCTCACTCAGCCACTTTGAAAGACACGCATTTGCACCTATAGATGGAAAAAAATTGACCTAATGGTACCAAAAAAATTAGAGAAGAACAAAATAAAACAAAATATGTGGACACATTCAATGCATTAAGCTAAGGCATTTTATTTTCTATAATATCAACAATACAGATAAATGGCAAGTTTTTTATAAGAACCCAGAGAGAACTTATAATTTTGGTTCAGTTGATCAACCTTAAAATGTGGGGATTTTAAAGACCATCTTGATTTGATTTATATTCATTGACATTGTCAATAAGCTAAAATATAAAGTACAATGAGAAACGATCAGAGCATATCTGTGGACTAGTCTCATTGAAAGTGAAGCTTTCATAACAGAAAAAAACAATATTGTGGGAATTTCAAGGGAAAGAAATAAAAACTGTGGGAGTGGAGGAGTGGTTCTTTTAAAATATATATTTTTTTTAGTAGAAGAGATGTAGGGTTCAAAAGTACTATTAATATTTCTTACTAATGTGAGTGTACAACCCTATCTGAAAATCTTCAGTGATGTGAATTGCATTATTTCCCATGGCAGCCATTCCATATTCGGACACTGTCATCCTTTTCAAGTGTTGCCTTATACTGAGCCAAAATCTATTGTACTGTGCAGGGCAAATCTAATATTCTTCTGTATAAACATTCTTCAAATGTTTGAAGAAAGTGGATTATATGTCTATGTTATCTCATACCTGGTTTGCGTTTGCACAGCCTCTTCTGTTTATTATTTTATTTGATGTGGTTTTTGGTCCCTCAGCTGCCTTGATATGAGGTTGATGACACAGCTCATATTGATCTCATCACTTTCTATTTGTTCTTTCTCCAGTTCCTCTTTATTCTTTGCTATATTATAACTCCACAAAGTGGTCTTTAACTTCTCACAAGTGAATTGGCAAAACTGAAACCTATAACTAAGCACACATTTGAAAGAATACATACAGACTACTCTTAAGTGATGTTTTCTCTATATTATAGATTCCCAACAAGAGATTTCTTTTAAATATAACAAGAATTACACCCCTCAGTATTGACTATTATCTTGATCTTACTAAATGACCTATCATTGTCAGTTTAGACCAGACCAAAACAGGAGAGAAAGACTTGAGAACTAAAACTAAAAGGATTTTCAAAAAAAATTTACATCTCTCGGAAATTGGCTTCCAAATGAAACAACCTGCCTGTTTCTTGGCAAATAAGTATGCTTTAGCTTCATGATGTAGTGTTATGTTTTCTTAACATGTTAAACAAATGCATTTTTATTTTTTTGTTTTCAGATAGTGGCCAGAACTGTAGTGCCAGTAGTAAAGGTGAACAGCTAAGTGCCAAACTCAGAGCTTTACCCGGGACACACGAGCCTTATGAAAGTAGCAGTCACAAAGAAATAGGCAAGTGTCCATGATCCCCACCCAGCCCTACAGGCAAAATGGGTCTGAAGACTGGTGAGATGGCAAAAATGTATAATTGGGTGTTAAGAATTTCGTACACAAAGACAAAATTTAAATGACATGGAAGAGCATTTCTGTTCATGTTTGTTTTGTTTTTTATATCACTCTAATGTAACAATCTGTTTTGAACCTAGATGCCTCATATGTGGATCCACTTGGCCCTCAAGTGGAAAGACCAAAGACTGCAGCCAAGAAAAGACTTGAGGAGGATGATTTTGCTGATGAAGAGTTAGGAGATGATTTGCTTCCAGAATAATATGTACCTTATATGTTATTTATTAAAGGAAAGAAATTGCCTTGCATGATAATACCCATGTTAAACCTTGGGTTAAATATACAAATTCTAATTATGTACACTTCCAAAGTTTTTAATAAGTGTATTCTGTTCTATGAGTATAGGTTTAAGTCTTGTTTTGTTTTTAATTGAATAAAAACATGAAACTAATCCTTTAGGCCTATGACTTCCTTACCCTTTTGAAAACATTAACCCCCAGTAAGAAATGAATTTTGTTGCACAATCAATTATCACACACACGTGTATGTGTGTATTCACAAAAATTACCTTTTCTACTGCAGTGCATGCTATTTTCTGTAATTTCATTTTTAAAGTATTATAAACAAAACTACATTGATTTCATGGGTTGGAGCTTAAAAAATACTGTGCTAGGACATATCCTTGCTGAATCTTTATTCAAACTAAATTACTTCGAGTTTAGAAACTACAACTCTGGAAGTTTGCCTGAGGGAGGTTATAATACTATTCAAACAATATGGGAAATCTAGGATGGCTGCAGAGGAGGTGGAAACTACACACTCCTCCTCCATGTGCCAAACTGGATTTACAGCTAAAATACAAAGCAATCAACCTGAATTAACAACTGGAGAACACCTGAACATGAGTATTATATCCAAGGATTGCTAGAAGAAGCTACACAGAAAAGGGCAGAGACACAAAGAGGGATGGTCTCTGCACCCAGGTGTAGCAGCTGAGAAGCCAGAGGGATATCATGGCTGCAAAAGTCCCCCCTGAGGAGAGTGGGGTCTCAACCTCATGCCGGGACTCCCAAACCAGAGCACAAGGGCCTGGAAGAAGAGCCTGCATAGCATCTGGCAACAAAAATAAGCAGGGAGGCCCAACCAGTGTGGCTCAGCAGTTGAGCATCGACCTATGATCCAGGAGATTGTGGTTTGATTCCCAGTCAGGGCACATGCCCAGGTTGTGGGCTTGATCCCCAGCGGGGAGCGTGCAGGAGGCAGCCAGTCAATGACCCTCTCTCATCATTGATGTTTCTCTCTTTCTCCCTCTCCCTTCCTCTCTCTGAAATCAATAAAAACATATTTTTATAAAATAATAAGTAAGCAGGGACTTTGCTGAAAAGAAGAAGGAGTCTGCTAGATTCCCTTTGCTCTCCTAAAGGGCCATCACACAGGAGTTCACCCTTGGGCACTTACCTGGGGCTCTGATAGAAGGAAGGAGATTCAGGGTATACGGGAGTCATAAAGAGAAGATCTTGGGGGGATATCTCTGGAGAGATATCTGGAGGGTTGGCTACTGAGTTCCTGGTCCTGAGTCAACATCCCATACCATCCTATCTCAGGGTCCGGCAATCCTTTCTTACACCACCAGCGGGGGAAAGTGCACTAACCCCATCCTCCAAATACTGGTGATATCACCCTACCAAGCTCGAGTCTGGCATAAAGGAATGAAACTACAGACAGACTCTCAGATGGTCATTGAACTGAGTGGCTTTGGAACAAGGGCCAATCTTTCCCCTATCCCACAGGTTAGGCAGGCCCCTCCCCCAATGGAAGTCTCCCTTGTCAGGGTCTCTGGCACCAGGCAGCTACAGAGCTAGGGTGAGTCTTCCACTTGCTTCCCTCCTACAGATCTGTGCCACTCCCAACAGAGGGCTACCTTGATTTACTTTACCAAATCCCGCTCCCCCCATCCTAAGCTCAGTTCTGCGGGCGGGGGGTGGGGGGGGCAGGGGGAAAAGGGAATGCAACTCAGAACTGGAACATTTGGTGCAATGCCCCCTCAGAGAGTCCCATCAGGGTCTCTGGAAGTGCACAGAGGAGCTAGGGGGAGGAGAGCAGGTGGCTTCCCCCCCAAGGACCAGGCTACGCCCACTGGAGGGCTGCCTTGATCTGTTCCTTCAAAGCCTGCTGGCACCATCCTGCTGAGTGCAGCTTCACAGGGGAAAGGGAGTGCAACTCAGAACTGGGACACTTGAGGTGACCTGCTCGGAGCCTCCCAACAGGATCTCTAGCAGTGCACTGTCAAGCTATGGGAAGGCAAGCAGCTCTTTCCCCTCCCAAGGGTCAAGGCCAGCGCCATGCGGAGGGCTGCCTCGATCTGTTCCTCTAAGTCCTGCAAGTGTGAGGGAGCAAGGATCACAGTTCAGAGCTTTGGAATGCAGGTATGTCACTGGAGTCTCTGAAGGTGTGCCTACAGAGCTACGGGGAGGAAGTGTGCAGTTTTCTCTCCTCACACAGGCCAGTGCCACCACCAACAGAAGACTGGCTTGATCTGTTTTCAAAAGCCCAGCTGGCCCTATCCCGCTGGGCTCAGTTTTGATGCAGGAAGGAGGCTCCACTCAGAGTGCATCTACATCAGAGGCTCCAGATAAGGGCTTGAATAGGTGTGGATATAACATAAAAGGAGGAGTGCAGCTCACCCCACTCCCATAGCCCAGGCACCCCAAGCAGAAATCTTTCTTGATCTGTTTGCCCAAGTCCCAGTGACCCCATTCTGTCTTGGTGAGCTTGCTCCTGCAGTGAGGACAGCTGGCTACATGCAACTGAACCTGTGGTGCACTCCTCCTGGGGGAGCTAGAGTTGGAAACTCTGGCAGATACTGATAGTATGTCTCTGGAATAGGAGCCACATTCTCCCCATCAAGTGCCAGACCATGCTGCCTCAAACGAGGGGACCCACTAGCCCTGTCTGCTCGACCTGGTCACTACTGAGCTTGAGCCCTGTGGAAGGGCCAGTGGAGCATGACCAGTTTGGGCCCATTCTACAACCTTTCTTCATAAGACTCTGGAGGAAGTCCAGGCAACTCCAA